TCACAACACCAGAAGTGTGTCTGAAGCTAAAAACAACTGCCGCTGACATTCTTCTGATACACCATCCTTGCATGCATTCTGCAATTATAACAGGATGCAAAGTCTGCAGATCCTCACCGACTGCACCGGCTTTCTGATTTACAGATTATAATTCATTATATTAAAGGAGACATATGATGCATATAAATCCTTCTTTTTTCACATTTAAATCATTAAGTTGGGTCTATGTAAAGTTGAACTACAAAGCTTTGGTCTGAATTCCTCATTATTGTAGCTCCACAAGCCCCTCTTTCAACTATTTTCTGAGGTGTGTCTCAGGTAAACTCGCTTTGAGGCTGTCTCTTTAAAGCCAAACAAGATGCTTCACACCCCGCTCCCCCCTCCAGCTCCCAGACCGGCCCATTCTAGCTTGATAGAGGGGTTTACGACTATATAGCTGCGCAGAAACTTTGTATGTCAACAAGGGAAGGCTTGTCCATCTGACCCAGAGCTAGACGAGAATGAAGACAGAAGTATTTGGTGAGTCCAGCCTTATAAGTTCTGTTGCAAATAATTTGACACAATAGTTCAGAAAATGTCAGAAAATAAAGAAAACTGAACGGGCTGAAAAGTATGACTCAGAATATAAAGACATCTACGCAGCACCAGGAGACTGTATTCAAGTTTTCTGAACTCCCATAGACTCCAGGTTCTCAACAAAATGCATTTAACAGCTAAAAAAAGTTGATTTTTCATGATATGTCTGCTTTAATCTTACATTTTTTTTACTTGTTTTTGTGTTTTCTAGAGCCAAAAGAAATCCAGAGCTGGCTGGAGCTCATTGTTTTCTTCATCGCACATTTAGTTTTGAGGTTTCTTTATTGTTTTCTGCTGGATCATAATTCTTGCACACACAAGAGTGACTTTGTATCTTTGCTTTATTACGACACGTTCCAGCAAAACACATTCCGATGAAACTGCTCTGTTTTTGTTGTTTTTCTTTTGGCTGCTCCCTTTCTGCAGGGGTCGCCACAGGGAGCAAAGTCGCCTTGTAGATTTTTTTTTATGCAACCTGAAGCGCTGAGATTTAAAAAAGTCTTGACCGCCGAGCTCTGCTCTCCTCACAGTGAAATTCAGATCTGGAAAAAGCTTTTTTTTTTTTTTTTTTGCAGTTAACCCAAACTTAAAACAATAAAAAGGGCATCTCAAAGGTGCAGAAACAAAAAGGCAAAGCTGTTCTTTTAAAGAAGAAAAAAAAGAGGGATCAGTCAGAGGTGCTCAGTTCTCCTCGCTCCACACAAATGAGCCCAAACTCACCTGCAAAAGGTCGATAGCCAGAGAGTCCGTCCAGTTAGCGGCTACCGTAGGCGCTTCAGTGTGAGTGTGTGTTTCAGCTCCTGGGAGGCGAACAACAAAGACAGTGAAAGTGAACACGGTATATCAAATAGAGCTCCGGCGCGAAGGCTGGCTTAAYGTTGTAAACACCCACACTGCACTGCACCTTACATTGTCTGGAWATGATTCACAATCCTACTTTTTTTTACCCCCTCCACCATCCTTCTTCCTCCTAAGCTGTCTGCGATTAAACAATTTCTAGCTCAGGAAATTTAAGKGGGGTGTGAGGGGGACAGTACAAAATACTGCACTGCAACAGAAAATCTAACACCCTCAGATTTCTTTTATTTTTAGGTTTTGTTTGTTTGTTTACTCTGAGTGCAGGACACTTCAAACCTGCAAATCMCTTAGGACAATGGCTGTGTCCAAAACGGCAGGACGGGTCCTCCGGAGGACCCGTCCTGTCGTTTTGGACACAGCCAATGATCCAACTTTTACAACCACTTTACTGCAAGTTGCTTCAGTTGAGTGAGACAAAGACACAGTGTAACAGACACCAAACAGGACTCCTTTAAGACATCGGGGGTAGTTGCAGGCATTTAGCTGGAGGGGCGATGTAAGGATGCACTGACCAACGCCTCTGAACGCCCTCATCCTGATCTTCAGGTTTGCCAAAATTTTACAGTTTTATTTCCACTGTATAAATTTCATAAACAGCGTATGTCCGTCCACAACTTTTAATTCCCTAAATAAATTTCGAAAACTTCCATAAGCTTTATAARTTGGGGTGGCTAGCCTAAAGGTGTTGACGCCTTCTTTCAAAATCCTACCTAAAAAGCCTTAAGGAGGATTTTGTAGTAAATGCCTCAGTTTGGAGAAATATAGGTCAATTCTGACAAGACTGATGGGTTAATGGCTAGTTCCACTGCTGCCATTTTAAAACAAATGCATCTATGAGATAGCAACTGCTGAAAAGACACAGACTTTGATGTCWTCAAGACAGACAAAAGGACAAAATGTGACAGTTTGTGGACAGACGGTCACAAGAGACCTGAATGGATGCGACAGCTTTCTGTTATGATCAGAGTTAAAAGTTTCTGTAGGTGCTCTTCATCCTTAAACTCAACAATAATCTCCAAAGACTCTGACGTACGTCTGATAAACTGCAGAAACAACCAAACACAGAAAACGATCTGATCCTAGTTCTAACAGTTTGTCTCTAGAGCTGGGTGTTGTTAAAGACCTCACAATTCAATTTCATTTGATATTGCTTTAAATGCTGCAATCTCTCTTTAGTTAGTTAAAATACTCTTTAGTTAAATCACTTACTACTACATCTCCCTTTGRTATCAATAAAAAATGTTTAAATTTGAAAATCAATATCATAATAAGAAGTAATACACATACAAGTCATTAGAGATCATGTGAATATTTTTTTTCTTGCCCATATAAGCAGAAATGTTAAATATTAACGTCCTGATGCATCTCAGTAATCCAGGTAAAAAATCAAAAAGAAAAAAATTGTATAGGTCTTCTGGACGGGTTCTTCTCTAATGAAACGTTTCGTCTCTCCTCCAAGAGACTTCTTCAGTCTGAGAGTTTCAGGCAAATTCAGGCTTTTAAGCCCTGCCTCCATGTGACTGATACTCACATCACATGGCTATCGTTGACACCTAATTAACACCTATTGTTAACAGGGGTGGAGTGATACTGGCAATAGCAGCACTGTAGGAGGGGAACAACTGAAAACGGAGGCCTGTGTTTGTAGGGATACCTGTCCCTACAAACACAGAGCCAGGGAGAAAGAGAAATCACACACACGACAGGCCCTGGAGCAGTGTGGTTATCMTGACTGGGCTTTCCTGAAAGCAGACAAGAAACACAGACAGGATTCCATGCAACCTTCAGGTGAAAATGAAGACTCCAAAACCAGACCCAAACCAGTGGTTATTCCGTATGTTGCGGGTGTTTCGGAGAAACTGAGACGTTTATTTTCTAAACATGATGTCCCAGTGGCTTTCAAACCCCAAAACACATTACGGCAAAGGCTGGTTCACCCCAAAGATCCGGTGCCCCGGCACAAACAGAGCAATGTTGTATATGCTGTTAAGTGCCAGGAGGACTGCGACCAGTTATACATCGGGGAAACAAAGCAGCCACTGTTCAAAAGAATGTCCCAACACAGACGAGCTACATCTAATGGCCAGAACTCTGCAGTTTTCACTCATTTACAGGCCAGCGGTCACTCTTTCAGACATGAGGATGATCTCATTCTTGATAGAGAGGAACGTTGGTTTGAGAGAGGAGTAAAAGAAGCCATTTTTGTGAAGAAAGACCGTCCATCATTAAACAGAGGTGGAGGCCTCCGTTTTCAGTTGTCCCCCTCCTACAGCGCGGCTATTGCCAGTATCACTCCACCCCCTGTTAACAATARGTGTTAATTAGGTGTCAACRATAGCCATGTGATGTGAGTATCAGTCACAYGGARGCAGGGCTTWAAAGCCTGAATTTTGCCTGAAACTCTCAGACTGAAGAAGTCTCTTGGAGGAGAGACGAAACGTTTCATTAGAGAAGAACCCGTCCAGAAGACCTATACAATTTTTTCTTTTTGTTATATATTAACATTTGTGAGAAATAAAATATCTGAAAATAAAGCAGTAACACAATATCTGTTCTAAACATGGAGTAGAATTGAAACAGGATTTTCTGAATCTATATCAACTATATTACCAACATCCACTGCTTTATACTTGTTTCTTAATTCCATGTCCTATTACTGATTCACCATATTGTTGTCGCTACACCTGAGAGGGTTTCCAGTGTTTGAAAATGTTCTCAGTAAAAAACACCAAATAAATATTAATTCACTACAACTATGTACATTCAGCTGGTTTATTTTATATTTATTGTCACTACCTCAAAGTTTTGCCAGGTGAAGGCATCGCAACAAATTCCTTCTGAGATTAAATGTCTGCAAAAGTTTATTTTTATTTGTTCTTCCTTCTGTTTAAACCTGTTTAAAAAAACAGCTTGATTTTTGTGTGTTAAAAAGGGAAAACACAAAAGAGACAGCTTGTGGTTTTGTCAAACATAAAAMGATTTCAGTAAAACTAATACTTTGTTTTTATTCTTTGTAGGAAAAAACGTGTGGTCATAAACCACTTTTCATAGAAATAAATCACATCATAAAAGCTTTGTGATTGTTAAAACCTGTTTCTGCTTCAACATTACTTCATTTCTTCCAAAGAAAAGTGCAAATCATTAATTTCAGCAATTAATATATTTAATATGTTTCATTGCTAATATAAATAATAATTATTAAAATATTTGCATATTGTTCATATTGCATTTTACACATCACCCCAACCTTTTCAGAACTGAGGTTTAAATAATCTAAAATAAAACTATAAATAACAGAACATTTTCTTGATTTATAATCCCAAAATCACAATGTGAATTCAGCTCACTGCATATTTACAATTATTTTAGGTTACAAACAACAATAGGTAGCGTTTTTTTTTTTTTTTTCAATTTAATGGGTTTCTTCCCGTTTTAATAGTGTCATTACAAGCTACATCTATTAGACTCATTTAATATTATGGGTTGCTTTTATTTGGGTAAATAAAAAGCGTGCAAATTAACTAGAAAAGATGGGAAACAAAGAGCAGCAGCTTGAAGTAAACAGTCCAAGCAGCACAGATGAACGACGCGCTGCATGGTTGTCCAGTTAGCATCTCGGCTAACCTTTGCTAACCGTCAGCTAACACACACACTGAGGGTTTTTAACATCAGTTAGCCTGCTTCGCTATGCTAACACACGTCGCGGCGCTGCGACCTCAGCGAGGGATGATTAGGAGCAAGGACTTTCTGATAATCGGCTAAAAAAACAAGCCTGGCGGACAGATAACCCAGCTCGTTAGCTCCGGGGGCGCTAACCTCGCTCTGTCCCCTAGCTCCTTCTCCTTAAATAAACCGCCCGCTTTTATCACTTCTGTTACTAAACTCTGACTCCATTTGTTCGGTTTACATTTGCATTTTGCATGTTAAACGTAATTTTATCACAAATAGAACAAATCCTACCTTTCAGAGAGAATTGTAGCAGAGGGTGTGCGTTTGACAGGTGACGGTGTAAACACAGATGTGATTGGTTTAGGAGCGCTTCCTCTGTTCGTGTTGTGCCGAAAAATGTACCYCTAGAGCGAAACGAACCAGCGTCCCGGGAAAATGGACACATAGAAAGCTGTTTCATTCATAAAAAGCGCAAATTTTGCGAATAATATTATAAACGTTTTTAATAAACGTGTCCTTAAATACGGTGAAAACCAGAAGTCACATTTTCACCTTCGACTTTGTGCAGTTTGTACTGAAAGCGGGCGTATTAAAATGCACCTCACCCAACGGGGTTGCTTCTTTTCAGCACAACACCAACGGAGTGATACAAAAATGCACTGCGGCTACGGGGTATAAAGCAAATGCCGCAGTATCTTTGCGCAACAATCGTTTCCGTGTGAACTAGTTTCGGGTTATTTTCGTCTCCATTTTCACAAACAACGTTTATTTACTGGTGATACACTGAAACGTATGATTCTGACGGATTATTGATCAGCGAAACAGCGCGTGAGGTTTTTAGTTGTTATTGCGTCTCGTGTTCATCCATTTGACCGGGTCTACTTCTCATTCATAATGGCCTCGCTCCTCAGGAGAGTTTCACTCAGCCTACAAATGCAGCGAAAAATTAATATTACTGATATAATAATAACATAAGATATTCAGGAT